GTGCCTATCATCACCCTGAAACCCTTCCCTTCCAGTGGGACAAGATGTGGAGGTGGAAGAAAATGATATTGATGATCCTGACCTTGTGCAGGCCTAGGCTAATCTATGTGTCTGTGTCTAAGTTTTTAACAAAAAAGTTTATAAAAAAAATTTAAACATAGAAAAACGCTTATAGAATAGGAGCATAAAGAAAAAATATTTTACTACAGCTCTACATTGTGTGAGTGTTCTGAGCCAAAAGTTATTACAAAAGAATCAAAAAGTTCTAAACATTAAAAGTTTTTAAAGTTAAAAAGTTTCACTAATCAAAAATCAATTTCTTATTTAAGAAATTTCTTATTTAAGAAATAAGGTTTTTTTTTGTTTTTTACAAATTATAGTAACTTAAGTGTACAATGTTTATAGAGTCTACAGCAGTACACAGTAATGTCTTAGGCCTTCACGTTCAATCACCACTCACTCACTGACTCATCCAGAGCAACTTTCAGTTCTGCAAGCTCTAGTCACGGTGAGTGCCTTATATAGGTGTGCCATTTTTTATCTTCTATATTCCCTATACTGTATTTTTACTGTACCTTTTTCTATATTTAAGGATGTTTAGAGACACAGATACTTACCATTGTGTTGGTATGTAAGCCAACCACTTGTAATTGCCCACAGTATTCAGTGTAGTCACATGCTGTACAGGTTTGTAGCCTGGGAGCAATAGGCCATTTCAAGCTAAGTGTGTAGTAGCTGCACCATCAAGGCTGTGTAAGTACATTCTATGATGCTTGTACAACGATTAAGTTCCTAACCACACATTTCTCAGAATATATCCCCGCCCTATGTGATGCATGACTGTAATTGACTTGTATTTCAACAATTACTGTTTTTCTTCAAGAGCAAAATACCCTATGTGGTTTATTTTGAAAGTCTGACAGTTATGAAAAATCCCTTTCCTATAATTCTCATGCTTAAAAAAAAGACAGAAAAAGAGCATCAGAAGAAAACAAAACTTAGAACTGACTCCACTTCTAGAAAACAGGTTGTACATAGATAAATAATTGATTTTCTCTGTCCTCATTTGTTGTGTGAGGGTTCTATCAGATAACAGGCAGGGTCCCCAAAGCTCTAATATTTAAAGATTCTAGACATAAAGATTTATCTACCATTACCAGAGTTTCATGAGTTTACAATACCAAGAGACAGCACTGGGCAAACGAAAAGGCAGCAAAGTCTTTGGTGTCCCTTTGATAAGAATTTTGGTTCCACCATTTACAAGTTGTGAAACCTCCAGCAAGTTGTTTAACCTTTCTGGCCTTTGCTTTTTCATATATAAAGTAGGATAAATACAATTTGCTTCATAGAGTTGCTTTGAGACTTAAATTAAATGATGAGGAGCCCAGGGCCCGATTCATAATTACTAAGTTCCCTACTTGTCTCTATCCTCTTCGTGTAGTGAGTTAGAACAAAAGAAAACATTGATGACATATTCTTTTCTGAATGAAGGAAGAACATAATTCATAATTGAATCACTTTGAGGAAAATGTAGTTAAATGACTACAGCAGTTTCCACCAGTCTTTGGTGGATTTAGTGTGCAAAATACTTTTTTCTGTTTAGTGTTTATTACACAGATATTTACTCAGCACCTGCTATGTGCTACTTCTTGTTCTAGGCACAGTGGATAGAGCAGAGGACAAAATAGGCCATGTTCCTTTCTTCCTGAAATGTATATTCTAGTGGACTTTTTCCAGAACAGTCTTAGAAATAATGTAGAAAATGTCTTCCTCCATTTCACATATCACTGTTGGACTTTGCAAAGTTTATCTTCTCCTATATCAAAGAAAAATAATACTCAAGGAGTTTATCCCATACCCATTTGTAATATGGTTGAGAAATCAGCAGAGTACAAAAAGGGAACATGAGTTTATAATGTCATATCTTGGTTCTGCCATGCATTAGAGAAACATCCCCAGGTAAATAAATTAATCAGTGTTCCACAGTTTTCTTTAAAATAATATCTACCTGCAAGAATATATGGGGCTTTATGAGTTACTATATGTAAAATACCTAGAGCAACACATAGGAGTAGAAACAAAAGAATGATAATATAGATTCAATTCTATTATTATTTACTTTTCCATTAACCTGAAGAAAATGAGCTGTTAATGTTAGCAACTCAGAAAGGAAAAGCTATAATTTTTTAAAAATAAAAATAAAAAACATAAGCACTATTTTTTTAGAAAAATAGTACCGAAATATATACAACTCACATACATGACATGTTATTTAAACTATAAAAAATATGTCATGAAATGTGTGTGTATCCCAATAAGAAAATCTTCTATCTGACACATCTTCCTGACTCACTCCTACAATAAGATTATTCTTTGTGCAGAATGTCTGGTGCCAAAACGGCATTTATAAAACTCCACTGTTGAGAGGGAAAAGGTTGGTTAGTTTTAATAAAAGTGTGTTACGCGCAGAGAAAAGATTGCATTTTAATGATATATAAATTGCATAACTGATAGTTTGAAACATAGAGCTCACTCAGCATAATCTATTTTCAATTAATTATATACCTTAATTCATTAATATGTATAAAAAGTACAGAATGTCAACCCACTTGAAATGTTTTTAAGTCATTTTTTCAGACTGGAAGCCTGAAACAAACTTTTTTTTTTTTTTTTTTTTTTTTTTTTTTTTTTAATTAATCAGTATTTTTATTATAGTTTTGTGGGGTACAGTTAAGGATTAGGTGTACAATTACGTTTCATTCAGACACCCTGTTGATAAGAGGTGTTTTCCCAGCCCCAGACAGATATTTGCTACTGTTAG